TCTAGTACAAAGTACAGTGTTCTACCACACACTGCCTGACTGGGAAGCATGAGACAGTAATAATCGGAATGGAATGAGAAAAAATAACACTAAGACATTATAGCTTAAAACTATCAAAGTGAAAATTTATAAAGTGAAAACAAATATGGATGTTAAGGTTTCAAGCATCGATTGAAGAAACAGAGAAATGAGACAGATGTCGTTCTAGCACCAGGAGACAGAGAACGCTGCCTGTTGGGCCAGAAATGCCGAGGAGTTTCTGAAAGATCTGAAGAATACGCCGCTTGCAAGAACACATTTCACAAAAAAGGGACAAAATTTGAATAGAGATAATAACATCAGACAAAATGGAATTTAAGGTGAAAACATCATGTAAAGGGTCTCTGTGGGGAAGCCTGAGACTTGGTTGGAAAGTTGTGAGGAGGACATTGCGAGGAAAGGGAGGAAGGCTGTCTGCCCTGTTTATCGGCATTCTGACTTAGGGGAGACTTAGGGGAGTGTCAAAGGCAGCACCCCTAATTATTCCTTGACTTTTCCAAACAAGTCTGTGCACGTGCAGACCCCCGGGTGTTTACTGGAATCCTTTCGCTTAATCCCTGAATGCCCTTACCTAGAGATAGTGTGAACACACGTGTCCTCCCAAGATTACTCCCCCTATTGATTGTATCTAAAAAATAAACTTTATCTCAAACTGTAATAAAAGCCTAGCGAGGCAGGCAATCTGGGCTGCCTGGTCCTCTCTTTCACAGCAAACGTTGTGTCAGAGTAATCCATTCATCTGTTGCTCAGGGTCCGCTGGTCACCCCCGGCAGGTCTCCACATTGATTAGATTTAAAGTCCGCAGAGGAAAGTGTAATTGTCATAAGTGCTTCTAATAAACTGAAAAACATCATTGACATATAAAAGCCAAAGCTGTTAAAAATACAAGGAGAAATGGACAAAATGGCAATCCATGCAATGTTAAAGAAAGGGGGGAAGTGAGGGAACATTAGAATTGATTAATATAAAAATGAAATGGACCTACTCGGCATATGTATACTTTTTATCTCATAATTTAAAAATACAAATTCCTGTAAATATCCATCTAAATTTCACAAATACTGTTGATAGTCATACACACAACACGAGCTCAGTGACTTCTGAGGAATGGAATTGACAGCCACTCTCCTAGACCCTGATGCATTAAAGCTGGATGTGCAGAATGAAAGGGTCAGTGGGAAGGAGAAAACTCTCTCAGAAACTGGACATGTTCTCCTGAATGACACAGAAGAACTCCAAAGTCAGAACGAGAGCACAGTAGTTCCTTGGTTTCAACTACTCCATGTCCTAATTCATTAAATGGAAAATTCCAGAAATAGGCAATTTATACATTTTAAATCGGATGACCTTCTAAGGACAGTGATGAAATCTCGAGAGTCTCATGCCATCTCGTGTGGGATGTGACCATCCCTTCCCCCCCATCTCCACCTGTAGAAGCCCGCCTATTTTTAGCATTGCCTTATTTCATTATTACTGTGCCTAATTTATCAATTACAGTTCATCCTAGCTGTGTATGTACAGGAGAAATCTTACTAGATAGGGGGTCTGGGACTTACCATGGTCTCAGGCCCCACTTGGGGTCTTTGGACGTATCCCCTGTGGATAAGGGAGCATTTTAGAAAATTAATGGTTGTATTGATACAACAAATACTCAAGGTACATGGTCAAAGCTATACACTCAGGAGACATATAGTTGTAAATATTTTGTTATTATTAATAACAAATAAAATTATTTGAATTAAGTGGTCAACTGAAGACATTAGAAAAACAGGACTTTCTCTTTTTCACCCTCTACGCTGCCCCCCAAATAAATAAATAATAGGAAGAAATAAAGCAGAGGGAAAACGATGAAAATATAAACTTATGAACTGGGAAGGGATTAAAATAAGAGATAATGTGCAAACACAATAATAATAAACCTCCAACAGACCACCCTATATAATAAAAGGCTAATATGCAAATCAACCGAATGGCAGAACAACCAGTTGCTATGATGTGCACTGACCACCAGGGGGCAGATGCTCAATGCAGGAGCTTCCCCCTGGTGGTCAGTGCATGCCCACAGCAGGAGCGCCACTCAGCCAGAAGCCAGGCTCACAGCTGGCAAGAGGGCTCTCGGACTGCAAGAGGGCACAGGCCAGACTGAGGGACACCACCCCTCCCCGCCAAGTGCACTAATTTTTGTGCACCAGGCCTCTAGTGAAGATATGAGAGAAACAAGTATGGATGAGCAAGGAAGTGAGGGAGGCACCCAGTTCTCGCAGGGACCATGAGGCTCAGGAGTCCATGGGCAAATGGTTCAGTAGAGATCGGTCAGGATGTTGACGTCCTCTTCCAGTCCTGTTAATGACACGTTTGACCTTGAAAGAGAGGCTGGGACATAGGAGGTCATGGTTTCCTTCAGAGATGCGTTCTGCCTTTATTTCTATGCAAAGCCTCATTTTTATTTGAAGTATCGGAAGCCGTCTGCAAGGATGATTCTCCAAGACGCAGGCCCCTGCG